ACGGGTCAGAGTGACCTAGTAGCGATCAGTGAAGAGGCGGGGCCAGGAGCTAGGACTTGACCCCTGCAACCTCAACTAGGTGAGTACACACACACACACACACACACACACACACACATATAAAATACTGCGCGGAATAGACGAGGTGGACAAAGACGGGATGTTCCAGAGATGGGACACAGACACAAGAGGTCACAATTGGAAGTTGAAGACTCAGATGAATCAAAGGGATGTTAGGAAGTATTTCTTCAGTCATAGAGTAGTCAGGCCATGGAATAGCCTAGAAAGTGATGTGGTGGAGGCAGGAACCATACATAGTTTTAAGGCGAGGTATGATAGAGCTCATGGGGCAGGGAGAGAGAGGACCTAGTAGCAATCAGCGAAGAGGCGGAGCCAGGAGCTGTGACTCGACCCCTGCAACCACAAATAGGTGAGTACAGACACAGACAGACAGACACAGACAGACAGACACAGACAGACACAGACAGACAGACACAGACAGACACAGACAGACAGACACAGACAGACAGACACAGACAGACAGACACAGACACACACAGAGACACAGACACACAGACACACACAGACAGACACACACAGACAGACACACACAGACAGACACACACAGACACACAGACACACAGACACACACACACACAGACACACACACACACACACAGACACACACACACAGACAGACACACACAGACACAGGGCACACACACACACAGACACACACACAGACACACACACAGACACACACACACACACAGACACACACAGACACACACAGACACACACAGACACACAGACACACACAGACACACACAGACACACACAGACACACACAGACACACACAGACACACACAGACACACACAGACACACACAGACACACACAGACACAGACACACACACACACACACACACACACACACACACACACACACACACACACATACATGATTGAAAGGTATAATCCTGAAAAAGTATATTAGATTAAGCCAGGTTGTGTAATTGAAAGAGTTGAAGTGATAGTGACTCGTTATCACCCGAGGGATTACTGGATGATAAGAATAATATAATTATCTTCATACAGTTATACAGAGCCACTGTAACTGACGTCAACACACCTGGTTATTACCAGGCTTATCACCTAGCACATAGGCTAGTGTAGCACATGGGCGCGTGTAGCACATGGGCTCGTGTAGCACATGGGCTCGTGTAGCACATGGGCTCGTGTAGCACATGGGCGCGTGTAGCACACGGGCGCGTGTAGCACATGGGCGCGTGTAGCACATGGGCGCGTGTAGCACATGGGCGCGTGTAGCACATAGGCTCGTGTAGCACATAGGCTCGTGTAGCACATAGGCTCGTGTAGCACATAGGCTCGTGTAGCACATAGGCTCGTGTAGCACATAGGCTAGTGAAGCACATAGGCTAGTGTAGCACATAGGCTCAGATAGCACATAGGCTCATTTAAAAAATACACAAACAATAATACGACCCTTTATTGACAACGTTTCGCTCACACAGTGGGCTTAATTATGTTACAAACTTGTGACTTGATAAAGCCCACTGTGTGGGCGAAACGTTGTCAATAAATGATAGCATTTTACTGCATTTGTCTATTTTTATCATCGTGTCGTTATTTTATGCCATTTATCTTCGGCTTTATTACCCCCAGTGAAGGGCTTTATTACCCCCAGTGGAGGGCTTTATTACCCACAGTGGAGGGCTTTATTACAACAGTGGAGGGTTTTATTACCCCCAGTGGAAGGCTTTATTACCCCCAGTGGAGGGTTTTATTACCCCCAGTGGAGGGCTTTATTACCCCAGTGGAGGGCTTTATTACCCCCAGTGGAGGGCTTTATTACCCACAGTGGAGGGCTTTATTACCCCAGTGGAGGGTTTTATTACCCCCAGTGGAGGGCTTTATTACCCACAGTGGAGGGCTTTATTACCCCCAGTGGAGGGCTTTGTTACCCCAGTGGAGGGTTTTATTACCCCCAGTGGAGGGCTTTATTACCCCCAGTGGAGGGCTTTGTTACCCCAGTGGAGGGTTTTATTACCCCCAGTGGAGGGCTTTATTACCCCCAGTGGAGGGCTTTGTTACCCCAGTGGAGGGTTTTATTACCCCAGTGGAGGGCTTTATTACCCCAGTGGAGGCTTTATTACCCCCAGTGGAGGGTTTTATTACCCCAGTGGAGGGCTTTATTACCCCAGTGGAGGCTTTATTACCCCCAATGGAGGGTTTTATTACCCCAGTGGTAGGTTTTATTACCCCCAGTTTGGGTTTTATTACCCACAGTGGGGGCTTTATTACCCCAGTTGAGGGCTTTATTACCCCCAGTGAAGGGCTTTATTATCCCTAGTGGAGGGCTTATTATCCCCAGCGAAGGCTTTATTACCCCCAGTGGGGGCTTTATTACCCCCAGTGGGGTCTTTATTACCCCCAGTGGGGTCTTTATTACCACCAGTGGGGTCTTTATTACCCCCAGTGGTGGGTTTTATTACACCCAGTTTGGGTTTTATTACCCCCAGTGGGGTCTTTATTACCCCCAGTGGAGGGTTTTATTACCCCAGTGGTGGGTTTTATTACCCCCAGTTTGGGTTTTATTACCCCCAGTGGAGGGTTTTATTACCCCAGTGGTGGGTTTTATTACCCCCAGTTTGGGTTTTATTACCCACAGTGGGGGCTTTATTACCCCAATGGAGGGCTTTATTACCCCCAGTGAAGGGCTTATTATCCCCAGTGGAGGGTTTTATTACCCACAGTGGGATTTTATTACCACAGTGGAGGCTTTATTACTCCCAGTGGAGGGTTTTATTACACCCAGTGGTCTCTTTATTACCCCCAGTGTGGGCTTTATTACCCCCAGTGTGGGCTTTATTATCCACATTGGAGGGCTTTATTACCCACATTGGAGGGCTTTATTATCCACATTGGCAGGCTTTATTATCCACATTGGAGGGCTTTATTATCCACCTTGGAGGGCTTTATTATCCACATTGGAGGGCTTTATTACCCACATTGGAGGGCTTTATTATCCACCTTGGAGGGCTTTATTACCCACATTGGAGGGCTTTATTACCCACATTGGAGGGCTTTATTATCCACATTGGAGGGCTTTATAATCCACATTGGAGGGCTTTATTATCCACATTGGAGGGCTTTATTACCCACATTGGCTGGCTTTATTACCCACATTAGAGGGCTTTATTACCCACATTGGAGAGCTTTATTATCCACATTGGCGGGCTTTATTACCCACATTGGAGGGCTTTATTACCCACATTAGAGGGCTTTATTACCCACATTGGAGGGCTTTATTACCCACATTGGAGGGCTTTATTACCCACATTGAGGGCTTTATTACCCACATTGGAGGGCTTTATTACCCACATTGGAGGGCTTTATTACCCACATTGGAGGGCTTTATTACCCACATTAGAGGGCTTTATTACCCACATTGGAGGCTTTATTACCACATTGGAGGGCTTTATTACCCACATTAAGGGCTTTATTACCCACATTAGAGGGCTTTATTACCCACATTGGAGGGCTTTATTACCCACATTGGAGGGCTTTATTACCCACATTAGAGGGCTTTATTACCCACATTGGAGGGCTTTATTACCCACATTGGAGGGCTTTATTACCCACATTAGAGGGCTTTATTACCCACATTGGAGGGCTTTATTACCCACATTGGAGGGCTTTATTACCCACATTGGAGGGCTTTATCTACCACTACCTAGAGGCTTTAGCCTCTAGGTAGTGGGGGCACCTTGTTGCTGTGCAAAGGTTCTTGATCCAATTAACCGGAGTAACTCACCCTTTCATCGGATCAAACCTGAATGTTTCCCATTACCCAGGAACTGTTATGACCCTGCGGGTTTAGTGCTTCCCAGCGAATATTATAAGAATGACTCGAGCATGTGAAAGTATTTCTCAGTATTCCATCTATCAGGTAATATTCCATCTATCAGGTAATATTCCATCTATCAGGTAATATTCCATCTATCAGGTAATATTCCATCTATCAGGTAATATTCCATCTATCAGGTAATATTCCATCTATCAGATAATATTCCATCTATCAGATAATATTCCAGCTATCAGGGAAGAAAAGCATCTACCAGGTGAGCGAAACATCTACTAGGCGAGCGAAACATCTACTAGGCGAGCGAAACATCTACTAGGCGAGCGAAACTTCTACTAGGCGAGCGAAACTTCTACTAGGCGAGTGAAACTTCTACTAGGTGAGCGAAACTTCTACCAGGTAAGCGAAACATCTGCCAAGTGAGCGTAACATCTACCAGATGAGCGAAACATCTACCAGATGAGCGAAACATCTACCAGATGAGCGTAACATCTACCAGATGAGCGAAACATCTACCAGATGAGCGAAACATCTACCAGGTGAGCGAAACATCTACCAGGTGAGCGAAACATCTGCCAAGTGAGCGTAACATCTACCAGATGAGCGAAACATCTACCAGATGAGCGAAACATCTACCAGATGAGCGAAACTACTGTGAGCGAACATCTACCAGATGAGCGAAACACTTCTACCAGATGAGCGAAACCTCTACCAGATGAGCGAAACCTCTACCAGATGAGCGAAACATCTACCAGATGAGCGAAACATCTACCAGATGAGCGAAACATCTACCAGATAAGCGAAACCTACCAGATGAGCGAAACATCTACCAGATGAGCGAAACCTCTACCAGATGAGCGAAACATCTACCAGGTGAGCGAAACCTCTACCAGATGAGCGAAACCTCTACCAGGTGAGCGAAACCTCTACCAGGTGAGCGAAACATCTACCAGGTGAGCGAAACATCTACCAGGTGAGCGAAACATCTACCAGGTGAGCGAAACATCTACCAGGTGAGCGAAACATCTACCAGATAAGCGAAACATCTACCAGGTGAGCGAAACGCCTACCAGATGAGCGAAACATCTACCAGGTGAGCGAAACATCTACTCACCTGAGCCTGCATCTTCCTCCACTTGGCTCTTCTGTTCTGGAACCAAGTCTTGACCTGAAAATAAATCACCATTATTAAATTGTCCCGTAATTAAAAATCATCATCATTAAAGGTATTCTGTCACCCATACGGATTTAGTGCTCACCTCCAATAAAATATTACCATCGCTTAATAACTTTTAAGTTTATTGCAAAAAGTAATTAGGATTATTATTAGGATTAGGTTAATCGTAATAATCCTAATTACTGGGTTAATCCGATTAATCCAGATTGAAGCCAGTCATTATGGCTTGTATCCGTGGATGAATGGTTCAAGGAACCGACACGTTGTTAAATTAGACACATGTGCAACTCTTGGGTATCTTTATTGAGGAAATATTTCGCCACACAGTGGCTTCATCAGTCCATACAAAGGATAAACTTGAAGAACAGGAGGAGAATGAGGTAATCAGTGCCTCAACCTTGAGTCGATGTGGTCAGTCCATCAATCTTGAATAGAATACGGCATATGAGCGGAGAAGGCAGCTATAAACCATAGGCAGGAGAGGTGCAGCAGTTGTAGGTGGTGTCACATTTGTCCAATGTGGAAGTAGGTCGTGCCCAAGGGGACTGATGAAGCCACTGTGTGGCGAAACGTTTCCTCAATAAAGATACCCAAGAGCTGCACATGTGTCTAATTTAACAATGGCTTGTATCCACTGGAGTATTTTAGGCCCTAATTATTATACTACCCACAGTAGGTGCCTCCCAGGTACCTGTTTCTTCTCGTATTAAATTCTTTGTAATTCCAATGATTATAATTGTTATAATTGTTATAAATTTAGGATTAAGGATAGATATAGGTTCAAGGATAGTATATAGTATTTGATAGACAATATATAGTATTCGATACCCTCTAATAATTTGATAGTACAGTATATCTTACATGATGACATATATGATAGTACATGATAGATAGTATGATAGTACATGATGGATCCTACATGATGGTACATGAAAATAGTATATGATAGTACATGACAAATAGTCATGTACTATAGAACATGATGGAGAGTACATGATAGAACATGATAGTTCATGATGGATAGTACATGATAGTACATGATGGATAGTACATGATAGTACATGATGGATAGTACACGATAGTACATGATGGATAGTACATGATAGTACGTGATGGATAGTACATATTACATGATGGATAGTACATGATAGTACATGAATAGTACATGATAGTACATGATGGATAGTACATGATAGTACATGATGGATAGTACACGATAGTACATGATAGTACATGATGGATAGTACATGATAGTACATGGTGGAAAGTACATGATAGTTCATGATGGATAGTACATGATGAATAGTACATGATGGATAGTACATGATAGTACATGATGGATAATACATGATAGTTCATGATGGATAGTACATGATAGTACGTGATGGATAGTACATATTACATGATGGATAGTACATGATAGTACATGATGAATAGTACATGATAGTACATGATGAATAGTACATGATAGTACATGATGGATAGTACATGATAGATAGTACATGATAGTTCATGATAGCACATGACAGCACATGACAGATAGTACATAAATAGTATATGATAGTACATGATAGAATATGATAGTTTATGATAAATGGTATTTCGTAAAACATTGGATAGACAACAACACAATAGCTTAATGGAACAACAAATATAATAATAATAATAATAATAATAATAATAATAATGCTACATCAGTAGTTAACTCTATAATGCTCCTGCTTGAGCGAAACGTCGTTACTAAAGTGTTCAGTGAAGCTTTTGTGCCATGAACGACCCTTGTCTAGGGACTAGATAATCTTTTGTGTACTAGACTAGCTAGTTGAGGGGAAATGTTCTAATTGATCACGTCACAGGACCTAATCATCAGTTTCTAACTGGTAATTAGGAGTCGTGGTTGCTATGCCCCTTCGGCAGATAGTTACTAGAAGATCATTGTGGGATATTAATGGTTAAGAGTTTTTTTTATATAAGTTCGTGAGTGTATAGACTGAGACATTCGTTTTGGAACGTTCAGAACGAGTCAGTTTCTTGACGTTTCAAATTATAGACCCGATTTCAATATATATTGCTTTGAAATTGGGTCCATGTATTTGAAACACCGTGTGTTTCTTAAATGAATTGATACGTTAAGCTCTTTGATAAATACAGGAAGTTGCGGTTTTATCAGGCCTGAACAATGAAAAAAACATTGTTTTCAGGAAATAGAGAATTCTGAGTCTTAATATATTGAAAAAAATGTTTTCAATATCTCGTTCAGCTTCGAAAGATGTTGCAGGGATAGTCATTCAGTTGGCTTAAGAAATGCATAAATGAGTCATAATCGAAGACAATGTATATATATATATATTATACAAGCGATGTTCTTCCTTCCCTCAGATTATTTTTTGTAAACCAAAGACTGCACCTGGTGTAATGTAAAAAGAAATAGAGAGAATCGGTCGTTAATATATTGACTAAAATTAATAAAATTATTGATAATGTAGACTTGATTGAAGCATAAAAGACAAGCTGGGACAGGCATGGTAGGTGCTGAATGGGGCATCCCACTCATCTCACACACTGAGGTCCGAGGTTTGATCCTCGGTACAGTTGGAAACAGGACGTGTTTCCTTAAGGGTTTGGGAGTCAGGAAGGTTGAAGCAAGGAAGGTTTGGAGCTTGGAAGGCTAATAGGGTGCTTAACTCTGGCCTACCTGACGCTCCTGCAGGTTAAGCTCCCTAGCGATGTCCTTCCTCTGTGAGGGAGTGATGTACTTGTGACGTCTGAAGTAAGACTCCAGCTCCCGGGTCTGGCTAGCTGTGAATCTCACCTGCCCACCTCGTCGACGTGATCGACCCACAGGGTAACCCACTCCTGGGGAGGTAATTTTAGAAAGATAAATGTGAAATCCTTAGGATTAGTTGTCGTCGGAGGGTTAAGCCAGGATAGCTAAAGAAAACCCAGTAATATGGCTTATTTCCACTAGATGATCTCTCCTAGAATGCAGCCCTGTACCTATTTAATGCAGTTTATAAACTGTATTCTTTTGCAAGATTGAACACATCGACTCCAGACTGAGGGACTGATTACCTCAAACTCCCGATCTTCACCATTCTTCTTTGTATTGGACTGATGAAGCCACTGTGTGGCGAAACGTTTCCACAGTAAAGATCCCCAAGTGTTGCACATATGTCTAATTTATCACCATTTACCTTCACGTGTTTGGAGACTTGCCTATATACCTCGACCCTTCCCACCGCCTCTGACATGAATTAATAAAAGCTAGAAGCTAAGGAAAACAAGTTAGCAACAAAATACTTTATTACAGTTACATTTCAACACTCCGATAAGATATCCAGATCTCTATACATACTACTGGAACGTATTACTTGACATAGATGAGGGCATTTATACTTTCTAGAATCCTCATCCCCATCATGGGGATGAGATACCCCCATTGCTCTTTCCCATCCAAAGATTCTTGCAGAAAATATCCCTTCATTAAGGTGTCCAGATCCTGGTGAAGGGCTTTTAAGCCTCGACACCGGACCTTCCTAGGGTCAAACCTGATTGCCTTCCATTTCCCAGATGCTGTAGAACCCCTGCAGGGTTTAGCGAACGTATGCAGAATATTTCCTGACGAATGCACTAGCAACTCGCAAATTCTTTTCACATAAAATAAAATTCCCAAAACTGCCCCCAAAGGGATGGACTTCCGAATTACAATATAAATGATTTACCAAAATTATATCACGATTATAGATCATTCAAGGAGTGGATCTCCTTTATCTTCCCTCCTCGCTGACGGTCCCACTTTTGACACCGACTCCCTCTTTGACATTTTGACAGTAACAGAGTTATTACACAACCTTTTATTATACTTCCTTTAGCGCTCCTCACCGTCCTTACTAACTCTACCCCCATTATAGTCTCCACCCTCGCTAGTCTCTGATCAAGTAAACCCTTGTGGGTTTAACGCTTAGTTATGATGAATAAAGGAATGTACAGAGACTCGAACTAGGGGGAAGATGTCTTGCAAATCTAATTATGGGGGAGAAGAGTTTCAAGGGGGGGAGGTTAGACGTTCTCAAGCAGAGACAAAAAATTAATCAGCATCGCATGGAGGGAATACTTAATTAAGAAACAACTCAAGCATTTTAAGTGCCACTTTAAGGATGGCTAATAAGATATCCAACCTATGTCAGAATTAGATTTACATTTTGCCATAAACCCTGCTGGCTTATTGTGCACCCCATATCCTTCCTGTAGACGGTAGTGGCTGGTTTACTGTGCACCTCATATCCATCCTGTGAACGGTAGTAGCTAGTTTGTGTACCTCATATCCATCCTGTGAACGGTAGTAGCTAGTTTGTGCACCTCATATCCATCCTGTGGACGGTAGTAGCTAGTTTGTGCACCTCATATCCATCATGTGAACGGCAGCACAAGAGATTATGGATACACAAGAAGCCTAGGAACTAGGCCCCGAAAAGTTAACAAGAGTTCGTATGGATATATATTTATAACTTAGTTCATTTATTGCAATCAAATTTAGGATATTTTGATAGTGTCTGGTTCCTTATGTTTATTAATATATTTTCACTGACATAGCACATATGTTATTATGCTGTCCATATTCCTTAATAATATGGACAGCCAAGCACATAGCATTCAAGAAAGTGGGCGCAAGTCTAGCCATATGATTTGCATTTAATTTGAAATTGGATCGTGATACCTAATACCAGGCCAGTGGTTAACGCACTATCCTGGGATTTTACGACTCATTCGCCGTGAGTACAAACCCCACCCGTTCCGTGGTTTTATTGTCTAACCAATTTAGAAAGGGAAGTTGCTCATTAGCGTTCAGAGAAGCTATGAATCTTTATCGCAGTGGTAGTGTGTTCAGGTTGTAACCGAATGGGCCCAGGTCGATTCCTGGGCGGGGAGGAAGTTATGGGCATTTTTCCTAGCTATAGGTACCTACGAATCTTATCCTGAATAAGACCTTTAAAGGACGCCATTGGAAATAAGCCATTCTGCTTGACTTTTTGGGTAATCCTGGATTACCCAAAAAAGTCTGTCTTCTGAAAGATAAAAGAATTACCTGAGTCTAAGACAGAGTAGGAGAGAGGCAAGTATGTCCTGGAGGCAGCGAGGCTGCGGTAATGAGCTTCCATATATTTCTGCAGCATCAGGCTGTAAAATCCACCTCCAGCACCCAGACCATTCATCATGTCACAGCCAGCGCCACCATACAGCAAGTCAGGCCTCAAGCTCGTGTTGAAATCCCTAGCGACGGTCTCCATGGAAAACCTCTCGTGCAGACCTGTGTCGGGTCTGAGAGCCACTGGTCTAGCCAAGACTGGGAAGTCATTCTCTCTGTCTATATTGCTAGAGACGTTTTTATCTTCCTTCTCTTTACTGTCGTCCTCCGTCGTCTTCCCGTCTGTGACAAGCCTAACACTAGCATATGTCGAGTCCTTGTACGTATCTGTGTTGTTCGTGACCCGTGATTGGCTGTCCAGCTCAACTACTGGCGAAGAAGCCGCTGATGAACCCGGAGTAAAGGTGGAAGACGAGGTGGTGGGTGGCGATTGTGTTGTGCTGTAGGGAGAGGTGGACCTCTTGTGGGCATAAGATAGTATCTGGTCTATCGTATATCTTGTCACCATGGTGAAAAACTTTAAGGTCTTAGTATTATTAGTCTACTACAGGACTGAGGCCCATTTAACTTCGTGGTTGATGCCTGTAAACAATGGATCCCACACAATCAGTGCCTACCACCTGACATCATCTTCCTCATCAACATTAACAAAAGCGAGGCAATCACACACGCTAAGAACAGGATACGTTCGACCATATATCAAACTCCAGTGGCGAGAAATAACTTTTTCTCAGTGGATAAGATGCAAGAGATCGCGAGATTGAGCTGTAACTAAGGACGGCAGTAATTAAGATGGAGAGGGTTGGGAGAGTGAGGAAGGCGAGCCACTTTGTATACCGCCAGGCAAGGCACTGATACCTGTTTCCGCAAAGACTGTCAGGCACAAGTTTATAGATGCCATTGAGTGTTTTTCTTCCTGATCTGCCCTCACCTGCCTCACCTTGCTTCCTCCTTCCTCCTTCCTCCTCTATTCCTCACCTCTTCCCCATCCAAGACCCTGTATTCCTTATAGCAAAATCATAAACAACGAAGCAGAGGAACCGTACAATGGCATTAATAATTAAATAACAGCAACACAGATGTTCTTATCAGGAATGTGAGTGTTAACTAAACCGGATTCAAGTTATTGCTGCTTTTCAATAGTTTATTGTTAACCTTATTCAATATCCTTTCATCAGCGGCTTCACAGAAATAATGTTAGCATCTTCTCATACCGCTACTTTTTTTTACATTACCAGAATGAGTTAGGTTGCATTGCATGGTTACCCAGACTCGTGAAATCGTAAGGACACGATTGCAAACACACCCATACCACGGACAGGGCTTGAATCTACGGCAAGTCAGTCGTAAAACTCCAGGACAGTGGGTTAGTCGCTGGGCCAATTGGGTGCAATATTATACATCCAACTAGGTATATTTATACACCATAGAAAGGTTAGCATAGGCACCACTGTGACCACAAATGCAAGTTTTGATCCTGGTCTATGTGATATTTTCAAAGCTAGAGCAAGCACTGTGGTTGTTAGTGGTATAGTTGCTAGGACTAGCTGGAGATGAAGACACAAAACACTCCACGAGAACTCAGGATGGGGATGAAGACGCTTCCACTCCACGAGGACTCAGGATGGGGTTGAAGACACATCCACTCCACGAGGACTCAAGATGGGGATGAAGACACATCCACTCCACGAGGACTCAGGATGGGGATGAAGACACATCCACTCCACGAGGACTCAGGATGGGATTGAAGACACATCCACTCCACGAGGACTCAGGATGGGATTGAAGACACATCCACTCCACGAGGACTCAGGATGGGATGAATACACATCCACTCCACGAGGAACTCAGGATGGGGATGAAGACACATCCACTCCACGAGACTCAAGATGGGGATGAAGGACACATCCACTCCACGAGGACTCAGGATGGGATTGAAGACACATCCACTCCACGAGGACTCAGGATGGGATTGAAGACACATCCACTCCACGAGAACTCAAGATGGGGTTGAAGACACATCCACTCCACGAGGACTCAGGATGGGGATGAAGACACATCCACTCCACGAGGACTCAGGATGGGGATGAAGACACATCCACTCCACGAGGACTCAAGATGGGGTTGAAGACACATCCACTCCACGAGGACTCAGGATGGGGTTGAAGACACATCCACTCCACGAGGACTCAAAATGGGGATGAAGACACAGTAGCGACACTTTCCTATCTTGAATTGTACACACGTGGAGTACAAGAACTCTGTTTACCTAACACACCCAGTCATGAAGAGAGATTTTTAGGTCATACTCCATCACGTAGGATTTTTTTTATACAAGGTAATAAAATTTTCCAATTTATACAGGAAGACTTCAGTAAGGAGATGATGCAGTGCAAGATTCTAATGGCAGAAGTCCCCATAATGCGGAATATGTTCCACTAGTTGTACATTTGGGCTAGTCAAGGGTACTCGGTTAATCACAGTATAAATATGCATTTCTCGAGGAAAAAGTTAAGGAAAAGCTCGGTTGGTAGCGCACTCGGCTCATACGCTGAGGTCCGTGGTTCGATCCCCGGTACGTGCGGAAACACTGGGCGTGTTTCCTTAAGACACCTGCTGTCTCTGTTCACTTAGCAGTAAATAGGTACCAGGGTGTTAGCCGATTGGTGTGGGTCGCATACTGGGGACAAAATTAATCTAATTTGCCCGAAATGCTCTGCATTTCGGCCACAAAATAGAGCGAAAAACCAACGTCAAAGACCTGGGAGTGATCATGTCGGAGGATCTCACCTTCAAGGACCATAACATTGTATCAATTGCATCTGCTAGAAAAATGACAGGATGGATAATGAGAACCTTCAAAACTAGGGAGGCCAAGCCCATGATGACACTCTTCAGGTCACTTGTTCTATCTAGGCTGGAATATTGCTGCACACTAACAGCACCTTTCAAGGCAGGTGAAATTGCTGACCTAGAAAATGTACAGAGAACCTTCACGGCGCGCATAACGGAGATAAAACACCTCAATTACTGGGAGCGCTTGAGGTTCCTAAACCTGTATTCCCTGGAACGCAAGCGGGAGATGTACATGATTATATACACCTGGAAAATCCTAGAGGGACTAGTACCGAACTTGCACACGAAAATCACTCACTACGAAAGCAAAAGACTTGGCAGATGATGCAACATCCACCCCAATGAAAAGCAGGGGTGTCACTAGCACGTTAAGAGACCATACAATAAGTGTCAGGGGGCCCGAGACTGTTCAACTGTCTCCCAGCATACATAAGGGGGATTACCAACAGACCCCTGGCAGTCTTCAAGCTGGCACTGGACAAGCACCTGAAGTCGGTACCTGACCAGCCGGGCTGTGGCTCGTACGTTGGATTGCATGCTGCCAGCAGTAACAGCCTTGTTGATCAGGCTCTGATCCACCAGGAGGCCTGGTCACAGACCGGGCCGCGGGGGCGTTGACCCCCGGAACTCTCTCCAGGTAAACTCCAGGTCTTCAGCTAACAACCAGAGTCTTTCTATAAAGTACGTCACTGAGGTCAGCTATGGTCTGTATAAGTTGTATCCTGTACTTGTAGAAATATTATTATTATTATTATTAGTAGTAGTAGTAGTAGTAGTATTTTGAATGCACGATAATGAAAACTAAGGAAATCATGAAGCTTATTTCAACTCTCTCTTTCTCTCTCTTTCTCTCTCTTTCTCTCTCTTTCTCTCTCTTTCTCTCTCTTTCTCTCTCTCTCTTTCTCTCTCTTTCCTCTCTCTTTCTCTCTCTTTCTCTCTCTTTCTCTTCTCTCTTCCTCTCTTTCTCTCTCTTTCTCTCTCTTTTCTCTTTCCTCTCTTTCTCTCTCTTCTCTCTCTCTTTCTTCTCTTTCTCTTTCCTCTCTTTCTTCTTTTCTCTTCTCTTTCTCTTCTATCTCTCTTTTCTCTCCTTTCTCTCTCTCTCTTTCTCTCTCTTTCTCTCTCTCCTCTTTCTCTCTCTCCTTTCTCTTCTCTTTCTCTCTCTTCTCTCTTCTCTTTCTCTCTCTCTCTTTCTCTCTCTTCTCTCTCTCTTTCTCTCTCTTTCTCTCTCTTTCTCTCTCTCTTTCTCTCTCTCTCTTCTTCTCTCTCTCTTTCTCTCTCTTCTTCTCCTTCTCTTCTCTCTCTCTCTCTCTTCTCTTCTCTCTTCTTTCTCTTCTCTCTTTCTCTTCTCTTTTCTCTTCTCTTCTCTTTCTCTCTCTTTTCTCTCTCTTTCTCTCTCTTCTCTCTCTCTTTCTCTTTCTCTCTCTTTCTCTCTCTTTCTCTTTCTCTTTCTCTCTCTCTCCTCTTCTCTTCTCTCTTTCTCTCTCTCTTCTCTCTCTCTCTCTTCTCTTCTCTCTCTCTCTCTCTCTCTCTCTCTTCTTTCTCTATCTCTTCTCTCTCTCGTCTTCTCTCTTTCCTCTCTTTTCTCTCTTCTCTCCTGTTACTCTTCTCTCTTCTTTCGATGTTGTCTCAGCTCTCTAGCTCTCTCGTTCTATATTATAACCGTCTTCATTGCATCTAGATCTTGATCTACTGCTCTCTCTCATTTTTATTATCATACAAAAAATCCCTACTTCTCTCTTTATTCTATCTCAGATTTTGATCTTTGCTCCTTTTTTGTCTTTCTCTTTCTCTTCTCTCTTTAATCTCCTGTCTCTCCTGAGCCACTCTCATCTCTTCACTTGCTCTATTCCAATTTTCTTTTCTCTTCTTCCTCATGATGAGCTCCGGTTGCTGGGCCTCTTAAGGATGTTGATCTACAGCTCCTAGACCTCTCGATTCATATATTAATATACAGCACGTAAGAATTCATTGCCACCCTAGAATGCTGATCTACAGCGCCTGGGCCTCTCGATTAATATAATATACAGTACAGAAAAAATACCACGGTACATGTGCTTTATTCATAGTTCAAGAATGTTGATCTATAGCTCCTGGGTGTTTTTGAGTGTGTTAAGCTCTCTGTGCTACGTTTCTCCAGTTGAAATAAAGCTCCTGGTCCTCCTGGAGGCACTGGAGTGCATCTTAGAGGAACATTTAGGATATGTAATTGCCAATTTTCAAATTTTATTTGGAAAGTTATCAAAAAAAAAACAATTCCCCATGGAATAACCTAGAGAATGACTCTTGCTAACGCCTTCAACCCGAGGAACGATCATTACTGCTTCACGCTGGGCGCAAATTACTTAGACTCGACCAGGACGAGAACTGATCGTGCATCAGTCTAGTGGTGTACCTGTTTGAGTTCAGTCCTGGACAAACAGTACAAATGAAGGTGACACTGCGAAATTTCTCATTTTCACTATCTGTTGTTTCACAACAGATAAACAATGGTATAAAGTTAATAATATTGATAATATTTATTTCTGCAAGTAGTTGATACAGCTGATACAGACCATAGCTGACCTGGTGGCAAAAACTCTCGCTTCACACGGTGAGAGTCCGGGTTCGATTCCTGGTAAGGGTGGAAACATTGGGCGCTGTTTCTTTACACTTGTCCATGTTCAAGCATCAGTAATAATGGGTACCTGGGTGTTAGTCGACTGGTGTGGGTCGCATCCTGGGACAAAACTGACCTAATTTACTCGAAATGCTTTGATGTCATTGATGTCAGCTATGGTCTGTGTAAGTTGCATCATGTACTTATAGAAATATTATTACAATAAAAAAAGAAGCGCGAAACCTACAAGGGTCATACAGTGCAGCAGGACAGGGACGAAATAATAATAATAATAATAATAATAATTTTTTTTATTATTTTTATTATCACACCGGCCGATTCCCACCAAGGCAGGGTGGCCCGAAAAAGAAAAACTTTCACCATCATTCACTCCATCACTGTCTTGCCAGAAGGGTGCTTTACACTACAGTTTTTAAAC